GTCATTAGCACCTCTAGTAATATATTTACTGAGAAAAATGGTGACGTGTTCAATACTTATTTTACCTGCTGTATCTGTGGAAGGAGCTGAAACTGTCTGTAGAAGGCACCCTTCAAACCGGAGACAACTGGAAATCATTAACAAAGGGCATCGACAGCTTTGTTCTTGTGTACAGAGAGGATATGARGGAAGCAATAAAGTCATGAGAAAAAATAAAACTAAACTGGTTCRTCTCTAACACATTAAAAAACGAGGCTCAGCTTTCAGCACAGACTGTGTTAGGTCAGAGGCAAAACATGGGGGTCTGCATCTGAAGGGTCCCTTCAGGGTAAAATAAAGATGCTTCTTACCAAACGAGCTGATCTGAGGCCGAGGCAGCCGATTGGTGGATGATGGAGGGCCATGATGTGGGAAAGTGAGGTCTCTCTCTCTCTCTCTCTCTCCAGCAGGGTCTCATGGAACACGGCAACCCGCCTCGCTCCCAGCTGGAGGTCCGAGACAAGGCCAGCCTCCTGGTATCGCAGGGGCTCCAGACAGGATCTGTGCCTCCAGAAGCAGCAGGGTTGGCACTCTGCGAGGGGGGGGAGGTTATCATGAAAGAGGAACCGGCGGGCGGTTAAAGGAGAGGGCTCCGGTAAACACGACTGGAATGAGTTTGGATGTTTTCTAAAGAAACATCCTAAACTTACTGGTGAAAACTAAAATAGGACAAACCTAAAAATAGACATTTTTGAGGCCGACCAGGAGCTTTAGATGAGTTTTACTTCCTGGATGTTTGAATCCTAACTTTGCTTTAAATGCAGATAAACAGACTTCATCCCGAGTCTAACGGTAAATAGGAGGCAGAGTTTTTACCATCACTTTTCATATAAACTTGCAGTAAATCACGCAACAGTGTGGACATGTTTAATTTCACACCAAACAGCTTCAAATATTGCTGAAACATTTGTTTTGTGCTTCRTTTTTATACAATTACAGCCGATTTCTAAATCTCATTTAAAGCTGAAGGCACGTCGTCGTCGTCGTTGCAAAACGTCTGCATCAGCTGTCTGGAACCTAAAAGTAGAAAAATAAAAAAGTTGCGTCCTCTGATCCGAAGGCTGTGGTTAGAGATATTTCTGATCTCAGCGATCGCTCTCATCTTCAGACGCTCGAGTCCCGGGCCTCTATTCTGCTCCGAGTTGAAGCGCCGACCACTTCAGTCCTATCTCAGATTGCAGAGCAGAGACGGCCGAGCCGTCCCACTGCCACGTCAGCTCCACAGGCAGATGTTGCTCACGGCCTGGCAGGAGGAGACGCTCTCGGCGGGGGAGAGGTAGATCTTGCCGCTGGGGCAGACGCACACCTCGTAGGCCGACTGGTCCCCCGGGGCCTGACTGGTGGACGCGGTGTAAATGCCGAGCGGGAGGCTTCCCAGCTGAATGCTGTTAGCATCCAGAAGGATCTGGAGAGGGAAAGAGGAGAGAAAAAAAAAACATCAAAGAGATGTTGGAAGTGCTCCAGATATACAGCAGGTAAAATAAGTATTGAACACGTCACCATTTTTCTCAGTAAATATATTACTAGAGGTGCTAATG